CCTCCCTTACACCCTGGCTCCTTATGAGAAATGTCCAGAAGATCACGGATCAGGTTCACAAACGGTTTAGGGTTGAGGGACCCTAAACTCACCAACCTCCTTCAACCCAGCCGACGCTGCAAGCATCATGACCATCAGACGCCCAGTGCCCCTCAGCATCGAAAGCCAACGTGGGAGCTGATGCTCATGATGCTTGACGCCTTGACGCCTTGGGCTTTGAATGCTCAGGGACTTCAATGCTGAGGGCCTGGGCAGCCGATACTCATGATTGCCCAGGGGCCCAGGCGGCTGACACGCTTGGCCTTCACTGCTGAAGGCCTAGGTAGCTGATATGTTCACTATTCATTATGGTCACGCCTTGCCTGGGCGACTGATGCTGGCGATGACTGCCCACTTGGCTTTCAACGCTGAGGGCCTGGGCAGCTGAAGCTCATGATGCTCATGATGCTCATGATGCTCACGCCTTGGCTTCGAACATGCTCACGCTCGTGATGCTCGCACACTCGGCTTTCAATGTGATGCTGATGTAAGTCATGACCAAGACGTCGCCAGTTCCTCCGGGTTCACATATTTCATGTGAACGAATCTACAAACTACTGTTCGAAGCTAGGTTCTTCACTCTCCCATGGACCCCCGGTCTCTCCTACGTACACACCCTAAGCCCTAAACCCTAAACCCTAAACCCGAAACCCTAAACCCGAAACCCGAAACCCCAAACCCGAAACCCCAAACCCTAAACCCTTACCCTGAACCCTAAATCCCAAACCCCAAACCCTAAACCCTAAGCCACCCCACAGTTGGCCTGCTCCTCGATTGTGGAGAGCCTGAGTGCTGTGGCGGTCCTTAGCCCAAAATACTTGGGGGCTTCAGAGTTTTAGGGTTTAGGTTGGGTTCGGCCGGTCCACACTAACAGTCACCACCACCAGCAGACCCACAAATAAAAGCACCCGGTAAATCCCAAAAAATTGACTGAGATTCCTGCTATTCCTGGTGCTATTCCTGGTGCTATTTCTGGTGCTATTTCTGGTGCATTTTTTTGTGCTATTCCTGGTGCTATTTCTGGTGCTATTTTTTGTGCTATTGTTTGTGCTATTTCTGGTGCTATTTTTTGTGCTATTGTTTGTGCTATTTCTGGTGCTGTTGCTGGTGCTATGTAACTAACAATCACCATCAGCAGACCCACAAAAAACAGCACCCGGTAAATGCTAAGCTGCTAAAATTGACTGGGATTCCTGGTGCTATTTCTGGTGCTATTGTTTGTGCTATTTCTGGTGCTATTTTTTGTGCTATTCCTGGCGCTATTTCTGGTGCTATTTTTTGTGCTATTGTTTGTGCTATTTCTGGTGCTATTTCTGCTGCTATGTGACTAACAGTCACCACCAGCAGACCCACAAAAAGAAGCACGCGGTAAATGCTAAAATTGACTGGGATTCCTGGTGCTTTTTTTGGCCTGTGTGTTATAAGGCCACGGCGTTATTTGACTGTTAGTGTGGACCGGCCGAACCCAAGGTTTAGGGTTCGAAGTTTCGGGCTTCAGAGTTTAGCGTGTTTAGGGTTTACGTGGTTTCGGGATTCCGGGCTGTTGGTGTGCGTGTTGCGCGCAGGGTGTACCGCGTCTCGGGTGCTAAGGGAGCTTTGGCCTGTTTCTCGGGTGCTAAGGGAGCCTTGGGCTGGACCCGGGTAGAGGCCAGTGTGCTTGGGATTGAGGGTTTAGGGTTTAGGGTTTAGGGAACCCGCAGGGGTACGCCCAGGCCCAGTTATGGAGTTCTCCAGGCGTCTTTGGTCTCCTTGAAACGGGCTCGGCCCTGAGCAATGCACCCAGCACCCTGACAATGACAAGCTGGCAACAAAGTTTGCCACATAGACCCCCTTACAAAAGGACCGTTCGCAAAGCATGGCTCTATTCTCCCCCTAAACCCTAATTTCCCAAAAGAAAACATACAAAACTCATGAACACAAATCACAAAAATGACACTCCCTTCGATTTCACATGCAGACGCCCCAAGCGATTAAACCTAGGGACGCATCCCCGGCAAAGCACGCATGCAATGTCGTCAACGTCATGAAAAGAAGGGTAGAAGTGCAGGGCCTTTGCTTAAACTCTTAACCGTACTTGGAGGTTCATGTCATTAACCAACTAGAACCCCTTAAGTGGCCCGAATATGGTAATAAGTACAATATAATTGGAAATAAGTACCATGAACCTCCAAGTAAACCCTAAACCCTAAACCCTTAACCCTGAACCCTTAGGCCTGTTGTCCGGGCAGCTCCATAATCGCCCGAGGATTTAGGGTTGAGGCTTTGCGCGGTAAGCCCTCAGTCCCTAAACCCTAAACCCTAAACCTTAAACGCTGCCCAAGGGGCTCCAAGGGCAGCATCAGGTCTTTAGACAAGGCTTCCTGCGAAAGGGTTTAGGGTTTAGGGTTTAGGGTTTAGGGCTTGGGGTTCCTTGGCGGGGGGGGGGGGGGGGGGATGGATGGAGGGTACCAGGTTCCAGAGTCGGAAGAAAGCAGAAACCTTTGTAGGCCCGGCCTCATAATCAGGGCAATCAGGGAGCCTATTCCCAAACAATGGCTCCAGGGTACAGCCCTAAACCCTGAACCCTCAGCCCTGAACCCTGAACCCTAAACCCTAACCCTAAACCCTAAAGCCTATCTCCTAGGTACATCAGGCAATGCGTGTTGGTTGCCACGGGATAAGGGTTCAGGCTTTAGGGTTTGGGTTTGAGGGTTTCGCGCGCGGGGTTAGGGTTCAGGGGGTAGATTCCGAATCTTCAAACACCTCCACACCCTAACAATCCCTAAATCCTAAACCCTAAACCCTAAACCCTAAACCCCTGCAACCCCTGCAACCCCTGGACTCTTCACCGAGTCAGAGGACCTGCAACTTCCAGCGTCTGGTCCAGGCCCACTTGTGGAGTGTGGAAGGTTTAGGGTTTAGGGTTTAGGGTTTGGGGTTTAGGGTTTGGGGCTTTAGGGTTTGGGGGGAGCCTTGTTTGTTAGTGTAACCAAAGGGCATAAACTTTCAGTGTCGGTAGGGTGCCGCCATAAACACACACAAAACATCCTAAACACAGGCTTAGAAGAAGCACAAACCTTCCGTGTTGGTAGGAAAATTGCAGACTGCGATGAGGAGTATAAACTTAAACATATTCCTAAACCCTAAACCCTAAACCCTAAACCCTAAACCCTAAACCCTAAACCCTAAACCCTAAACCCTAAACCCTAAACCCTAGCCCTAAACCCCAACCCCTGAGTCCTCAAAAGGAAGACCCATTAGCAGGGGCCTCACAGCGACGCCGGCAGTTGGCGACTTCGGAAGCCATTTGCTTGACCTTGATCGCTTGTCTAGGGTTTCGGGCTAGGGTTTAGGGTTTGGGGCTAGGGTTTAGGGTTTAAAAGGGCTAGGGTCTAGGGCCAGGGTTTAGTAGGGTTAAGGGTTTAGGGTTTCGGGGCTTGTGAGGTTTAGGGTTTAGGGCTTGTGGGGTTTGGGGTTTAGGGCTTGTCGGGTCGAGTGCCTGGAGTTTCGGAAGTCTAGGGCTTCCCTGATATTGAACACCACTTCCCCGAACACTGAGTCAACTTTGGACCCCTGTCCCGAAAAACCTTTCAAAGCTCTTGGAACAATATCCCCCGAAACCCCAGAAGGGAGAGCCTGTGTAAAACACGTGGTTTCGGGTTTAGGGTTTGAGGGCCTTTTGGGGTCTGAAATCTGAGCGCAAAGTTGCTCTAGGGACTTGACGGTCTGATGATCGGGCAAAGGTCTGATTTGTAGGGCTTCGGTTTTCGGGTTTAGGGTTTCTAGGCAACTGCGCAGTTGAACCATGTTGCCTAAGCCCTAAATCCTAAACCCTAAACCTGAAACTCCAGATTTCTGAATGCTTACCTCGACTCTCTGGAGCTCCCCTGAAGCCTACAGGCTTAAGTTCATTTAGGGTAGTTCAAGCTTTTTCGGTTTTAGGGTTTAGGGTTTAGCTTAGGGCCGCCTAGGGCTTAGGGCTCATGGTCTAGGTAAGCATGCCTTTGCCCTTCAGGTTTAGGATTTAGGGTCTAGGGTCTAGGGTTTAGGGTTGAGGGTTTATGGTTTAGGGTTTAGGGTCTTCGGAGGTGTTCAACGTTCCCTAAACCTGAGCTGAATACTGCCCCCTTTCCAGCGATAGGGGCTTTGCAAAGGCCGCCTCTATCAGGCATGCAGTGATTGATAGCTCTACAAACCACAGTGCAAACGACCGGCACGCCTGAAAACCTCCCCTACAAGGATTTCCCAGGGCAACTTTCTCGTCTTGATGTTTTGGAAGGTCAATGAAAGAAAACGTCCGAAACGACCGACAGGCCAGCACACACACGTGTTGCTTTGCCGAAAGCTACATTTTGTTTTCGCCAAAAATGACCTCGCCTGCTCCTGGCGCTAGAGTAGACGATGGCTTTACCCAGCCATAGCTCCCCCTATGAATTGGGACGGGAGGTCGGGTCACCGAACTAAACCGAACCCTAAACCCTAAACCCTAAACCCCAAACCCCAAACCCTAAACCCTAAACCCTAAACCGGCCCGAAACCCGTTGAAGACCCCAAAAGGCTCCCAGAACCCACGTCTAAGAACCCAAGGGTGCCTACAACACCTGAAAAGCTGATGAAACACAAGGTTTAGGGTTTAGGGTATAGGGTTTAGGGTTTAGGGTTTAGGGTTTAGAGTTTAGGGTTTAGGGTTTACGATTTAGGGCAGTTGTGGGGGTTTTAGGCTTCGGGGTTGTAGGATTTAGGGTGGATTGGTAGGGTGGATTTGTTGTGTGGTCCATACGGTTTAGGGTGGATGGGCTGGGATCAGGGTTTATTGGGCTTGTGCCAGGAACCCCCAAAGTTTGAAGGGTACCTCCTCGACTGCATCTTGTCCAGAAACTTTTGCAGAATCTTTCCATGAGGTCGCATGGCTTCGGCTGGCTCTAGAAACACACTAGGAACTGGTCACAAAAAACGGAGTCGCAAGACACGACAAGACCCCCTTACTGTAGATCACAAGCTTGCCTGATGTACAAACTGTCTGTCCCGGTAGCCTCACTGTGTGGTCGCTTGCGAGACGGCACCTTCTGCAGCTGCGATCGAACATCGCTGCTGTCACCACCGCCACACTTATGCCCCCAAGTCACCACGGAACCATCAGCAAGAATGGCAGCAAACGCAAAGGCAGAAGACTGGATCCCGCGCACATGTCTCAACTGGTCTTGGACAGCCCTGCTGTCACCACCGTACAGGCTATGGCCCCAAGTCACTACGGAGCCATCGGCAAGAATTGCTGCAAATGCTGCGCGGGAAGCCTTGATCTGCTGTACGCTCTGCAACTGCTCCTGGACTGCAGTGCTGTCACCGCCGCAACCAGGGTTGCCCCAAGTCACTACAGAGCCATTCGCAAGAATTGCGGCAAATGCAAAGTCAGAATGCTGGATCTGTTGTACATCACGCAGCTGCTCCTGGACTGAGCTGCTGTCACCCCCACTAAGAGGATCACCCCAAGTCACCACAGAACCGTCAGCTAGAATGGCCGCAAACGCTCTTTCGCATGCTTGGATCTGCTGTACATGCTGCAACTGCTCCTGAACCGCGCTGCTGTCACCCCCGTACTCAGGAGCCCCCCAAGTTACCACAGAACCATCGGCAAGGATTGCAGCAAAAGCGGTGCAGGAAGACTGGATCTGTTGCACATTCTGCAACTTATGCTGGACATCGCTGCTGTCGCCCCCGTATCCACCATCGCCCCAAGTCACCACAGAGCCATCGGCAAGAACTGCGGCAAAGGAATAAGTTGAAGATTGGACGTGCTGTACATTCCTTAATTGCCCCTGCACAGCGCTACTGTCACCACCGTCATTGTCAAAGCCCCAAGTCACGACGCAACCGCTGGAAAGAATTGCGGCGAAGGCCAGGCCGGAAGACTGGATCTGTTGTACATTGACCAACTTCTCCCGAACAGCACTGCTGTCACCACCGCCTTCAGAATCACCCCAGGTCACCACCTTGTTCCCAGCAAATACAAACAAAAATGGGATCGGGTAGTTTCAGAAGGAAGCTAGAGGACTAGAGAGCCCCCTGTCCCCAACGAAAAACCTGGCCCTAAACCCTAACGAGCCACAGAACCATCTGCGAGAATGGCGGCAAAGGCATTGCTAGATGACTGGATCTTCTGCACGTCCTTCAACCTCGGTTGGTCCCTTTTAGGCTGTATAAAAGCTCTTCCCAACGAGGATTCTCTTATCTGATCTTAACAAGAGCAAATTGATATGCAAACATGCATGGATGAATAAATCTTGTTAAAGCATTCACACACACACACACATATATATATATATATATATTTACACACACATGTGCATATACATCTTTTTCAGCATGACTAGACCAAGCGGAGACATGTGCTGATGCAGGTTCAGGGTTCCCTAGAACCCTATAAACCCTAGAACCCGCGACCCACAACCCTCAACCCCAAACCCTAAACCCCAAACCCTAAACCCTAAACCCCTACACCCTAAACCCTAAACCCCTAAACCCTAAACCCCTGCGTCTAGCAACTGGCCCTGGACACTGCCGCAGTCACCACCGTAGTCAAGGCGGCCCCAGGTTGTCACAGAGCCGTGTGCATGAATTGCGGCAAAGGAAGACCCCTGAGGTTGAGGGCTTAGGGTTTAGGGTTTAGGGTTGAGGGTTATATAGGGTTATATTGGGGCATATAGGGCTATATAGGGTTATATAGGGTTATATAGGGCAATATAGGGTTATATAGGGTTATATTGGGTGATATAGGGTTATATAGGGTTATATCGGGTTTAGGGTGACTTCAGGATACCCTAAACTACATAAGGAATGGACGACGACGAGGGTACCCTTGTGGCGGGTTACTTGGATGTTTGCGGATCCTTTTCGTACGATTTTTGCAAAACGGGGTAAGAGATAAGAGTACTACTGGACATCCTAGATTCGGAAGTCTGGATCCCTTGTACATTCTTCAATTGCTCCTGGACACTGCTGCAGTTGCCGCCGCTGTCCTCGCTGCCCCAAGCGACCACACATCCGTCAGCGAGGATGGCGGCAAAAGCGGCCACTTCGTCATCGGGGTTGTTGCAGGCCGCTACTTGGGTCTGTCCCTTCCACTGACTCACCTAGGGATGGCCCTTGGAACCCTCTGAAAAATACTCCTGAACATGATCCTCTTAAGCCAAACAAGAGAAAGTATAAAATGTCCCAAGGCCTACCTAGCCACCTTGTCTCCTGTGCACAACCCCGCCTCCTGCGCAGAAGCAGATCCATGCAGCATCGGCAGGAGCCAGCACACAAAAGCGGCCTGTCTTCCCCCAGAGCGCAAACCCTGCCTCTTGCCTCAGCACATCTACAGAGGGTCTAAGATTTAGGGTTTATAGGGTTTATAGGGTTTATAGGGCTTATAGGGTTTATGGGGTTTATAGGGTTTATAGGGTTTATAGGGTTTACAGGGTTTATAGGGTTTGTAGGGTTTATGGGGTTTATGGGGTTTGGGGGGTTTAGGGGTCATAGGGTTTATAGTTTAGGGTCTAGGGGCCCACTTTGAGAGTGCCCGTTAACCCTGATGACATGCGCTCGCTCCAGCTTTTCACATTTCTCAGCGAGGCTCGAGCTCCTTGAAAAAACCCACGACTCCACGTCCTAACCTAGAGTTTAGGGTTTAGGGTTTAGGGCTCAGGGTTTAGCGTCGAGGGATTTCGGCGTTTTGTTGGCGAAGTCCGCTGGCTGAGCTCCATGCCTGACCTCGGAGATCAGAGACCTCCGGACCTGGGTAAAGGGCTTGACACCCCAAGCCCTACATCTTGTCAAGTATCCCTAAACCCTAAACCCTAAACCCTTATCCCTCAACCCTAAACCCTAAACCCTAAACCCTAGACCTTTCGGGCTCAGGACTTGTCGCAGATTTGTTTACAGGAGGGGTCTCGAAGCAACCAACAAACAGTTTCCGAAAGAGGTCGGTTTGGGGTTTAGGGTCTAGGGTTTAGGGATCCTCCCTGAACCTCTGTTGAGGGACTCGGGGGGCGTGGGGGGGGGTCAGGCCCTACATTCAGGGGGTGAGACCCTGAACCCTAAACCCTAGCACGGGACGTGCACAAAAAATGGGTAGGCTTTGAGATCTGGGGGTGTCAAAAAGGCCATCGCGACTGTTCTTTGCAACAATGTCATGCTTAGGACACCATAAAGGCCCAAACCCGACGCGCAACCCCTAAACCCTAACCCAAAACCCAAACCCTGAGCCCAAAGCCCTAAACCCAAACCCCCATAAACCCTGAACCCTTACCGGCTCCATATGGGGATTTCAGAAATTAGGGGTTTATTGGGGTCCTTACTTCCAAGGGAATCCTACTATGGGTCTACATTAGGGTCCTTTATTTTCGTAAACTCCCATACTAACCCTAAACCCTGAACCCTGAACCCTAAACCCTAAACCCTAAACCATATCTGCCAGACGGAGGAGCTGGTCGATGACATCCTAGCCTGCAAGGTGGCGAGATCGTTGCGTAGGACCTGGTGCAGGGGGTTTAGGGTTTAGGGTTTAGGGGTTTAGGGTTTAGGGTTTAGGGTCTCAGGGCTTCCCCGCATGGGCTATTGTACCCTATAACCCCTTAAAAAAGGCCCTGTATAGGGCTAGGGTTGAGTATGGTGATTCTAGGGCCGAAGAGCCGCTGGGACTTAGGGGTTTCCAGGGGTTTTACCTTGGACCCTAAGGTTGTCCCTTTGGGTTTTGGGAGACCCTGCTCAAACATCCTTAAGGTAGCATAAGGGCCATATTAGCAGCACATTAAGGGGGGGGAACCTCTTTGGGCTAGAAACTTAAGGGTGCGAGTCTTAGTCTCTCGAGGGTTTTCCAAGCCCTAAACCCTAAACCTTCAACCCAGAAGTTTTCTGGGGCTCGGAGGGGTTTATGGGGCTTTGGGGTTTGGGGCTTGTTCTGCGGTCCTCTACATGAGGGTTTAGGGTTTAGGGTTTAGGGTTTAGGGTTAGGGGAGCCAAACTCAGGGCCCACAATTCGGATCCCCGACTTACACGTCCAAGCACGACCAGCCTCCACTTTGCCTTGCACGCCGCGCAGCTGCTCAGCCGACTCGCCCTCCACCCAACCCTAAACCCCTAAACCCTAAACCCTAAACCCTAAGCCCTAAACCCGAAACCCGAAACCCGAAACCCGAAACCCCAACCCCCAAACCGAAACCCTGAACCCTAAACCCCCTGACCTTAACCCCGAGACTTTCAACCCTGAACCTCCAGGGCTTTGGGTTCACCGTTTTTTAGACGATAGGGGCCGTGTTGGGAGTAACTTGCGGGAACCCTCAGGAGTAACAAGCTTCGGGGGGCAAAAGTCTGCATCCTTTGGAAAACCTAAGCCTGAACCCCATAGGCCCTAACTAAACCCTAAACCCCTACACCCCAAAACCCCTAAACCCCTAAACCCAAACACCCCCTAAAACCCCCTAAAACTCCTAAAACCCTAAAACCCTAACACCCTAACACACAAATTAAACCCACACAGGGGCCAACACTGGAGTTCAGGGAGTTTGCGTTTTGGGCTCCGAGATAAGGGTCTAGGGCTTACAGGGTTGCATGGGTTTAGGGTTTAAGGTCTTAAGGGCTTAGGGGTCCATGGGTTTCAAGGGCTTGCGGTTTTCAAGGGCTTCGGGGGCATCATTGGCAAAAAGGGCCATGATTCTCAAGGGTGTGAGGTCTTTAGGGCCTTTGGGGGCTTGAGGGGTTTAATGTCCGAAGCCCGAAACCCTAAACCCCAGACCCTGATCCCAAACTCCAAAACCAAGTTCGTGGATGCGGGGTCTACCTTGAGGGTTTGGGGTTTAATTAGGCTTCTTGTTTAGGGAAACCGACTCCGATATAACCCTGGTTCCTTCTATGTTGAAGAGGCAGCCCTCCACACCACCCCAGCCCTCGAACCGCCAACGTACGAAACGACTGTACTTGAAACTACCTCTGGGGGTTTCCGACATTAGGGGTACCTTATTGGGGCTACTATTTGGGGGTCTACATTAGGAGCCCTTATTCTCGTAAACCCCATACATATATATATATGTACATAACCCTAAACACTAAACCCTAAACCCTAAACCCCAAACCCTAAACCCTAAACCCTAAACCGACATGACTCACCCACAGACCGAGACCAGCAAGCACTGGATCCCTGAGCGCATGAATGCCAAACCCGTGCAGCCCACGCAAAACCCAAGGCCTAGGGTCAGCGTGTTTGCTTAGGGTTTAGGGCTTAGGGCTTTGGGCTTAGGGCTCAGGGCCCCGGGTCTTGGGTTTGGAACCTGAAGTTTTCGGGGACTTTGGGGGTTGTGGCGGCTTGAGTTTTGAGTTTTGGGTTTAGGGTCCGAAGGACCTGAGTGAGGCTTGCAGAAACCCTAAACCCTAAACCCTAAGCCCAAAGCCCTAAAGCCCTAAAGCCTAAACCCTAATCCCTAAACAGGCGGGCCGCCTCCCTCTCAGCGTGTCCCGAACGCAGGCGGGCAACGTCTGCCTGTCAATCTCAGGGTAGACTCGGAGATCCGAAGTATGGGCCCTCCATCTGAGCTCCCTGTTATAAAGGCCCTATACACACTATGCAAATAATGGCCCATACTTCGGATCCCTTTAAATGGCAAGGGACCATACCAAGAGCCCATGGTTCCCACCTTAGATACATCCAAAGGATTGAGGAATTAGGGTTTAGCTTGTTTCTTTTTTGCGTTTCATGGTTTAGGGTTTAGGGCCCTTAGCCCCAGAATGGCCCCTTTACCGCAAAGCAGGGTCGCTTCTCAACTCCGCGGACCCAGCGGCCCGAATCTCGGAACCCTCGACCCCTTTAAACCCTCACCCCTAAACCCTAAACCCTAAACCCTAAACCCGAAACAAGGCAAGGCACCACATTCAGGGGCCGAGTGCAAATGCCCTAGCCCCTGCAGTACAGCCCAATCGGCCCCACCTCAAGCGACACCAGGCGGCTTCCGCCTGGGTGGCATTAAGTTGGGAGCTTCGGGCTTCGGTTTCCTCCCCTCGATCAATCACCCTAGACCCTAAATCCCTTAAACCGCCTCAGCCCCCTTAAACCCCCTAAACCCCAGACCCCGGAACCCTCAAGCCTAAACTCCCTAATCCCAATCCCTAAACCCTAAACCCTAAACCCTAAACCCTAAACCCTAAACCCTAAACCCTAAACCCTAAACCCTAAACCCTAAACCCTAAACCCTAAACCCTAAACCCTAAACCCTAAACCCGAACCCCAAACACCTCATCCACAAGCAAGCTGTGGGCTTCCCTACTTTAGAGCCCCTGCCCTAAGCGTTTGAAGAGCCCGAGCCCCCCGTCAAGGCTTAAGTTTAGGGTTCAGGGAGTTTAGGGAGTTAAGGGAGTTTAGGGAGTTTAGGGGGCTTAGGGTTTAGGGTTCAGAGTTTAGAGTTTAGGGCAAGTAAGGGCGTGGGCTTCGGGAGGGCCGCTAGCAATGTCGACCAGCGCAGGGGCCCCCCACTTTCGCGCGAGGCGTCCGAGACAGTGGACGAGAGCTCCTCTCAAAGAAAAGGGCTTAGGGTTTAGGGTTTAGGGTATAGGGTATAGGGTATAGGGTTTAGGGTTTAGGGTTTAGGCTTTAGGGTTTAGGGTTTGCAAGAGCTATGTACGTTGAGGGTCCTGCTTGTGGGGTTTAGAGAACTTTGGCCTGGGCTCTGTTTTGAGGTCCCTGTAGGCAGCTACACACCCAACCCAAGCCTCCAAAAGCATAACAGAAGTAGATTTCAACATGCCCCAAATAGTGGTTTAGGGTTTAGGGTTTAGGGATTATAGGGTTTAGGGTTCACCTATATAGTCACCAAGAGAGCACTTTTGGGACACAGCCCAAACCGGTGCAGTGCCACGAACCCTTCAGCTTTGTGATTCGGTCTCGGCAAGGTTTGGGGTTTGCTGGGTCATCCCCTAATCGGATTGACCAAGCACACCCCCACATCAGGGGGTGTATGGGCTAGATGCATACAGAATATAGCAACCCTAAACCCTAGACCCTAAGCAGTAAGGGTTCCAAGCCCTACAGAAACCCTGGAGAAGCTCAATCCA